AGTTATATCCATGAGATCACTATTTTTTACAACAACTATTAAACTAACTGACACTAAAACAAGAATTATGACAACGAAAAATATAACTTTTTGAATGTAACTAACTTGAAAATTACAAGAAGAATTTCTACATGGATGAGAGACCACTGAATATATATATGTTATCCACAGCAGATCATTTTTGAGTGAACTCATGATAAAACCTTAAAAATAAATATGACTACGTAATCAGTGTAACTATTTTTGGTTGACAAAAACTGAATTAAAAATGGCCTCAACTCTTATATTTCATTCGTCAAACAGGTGGATCGCGCTTAAAATTATCACCACACTTCATACTTACAATAATGTTTCCAATCTAGCTGAGATTAAAAATACCATCTTGACTGCGAAAACTCTGTTCATTGCGAACAACTACAATCTACACTCAAGGTATTTTGTGCACATAAATTAGGGGCAGGTGTTTAGAATTAATATTTGCACCAATCTTTTTCAACCTAGTAGATTTGAATACTCAGGATTTTTTAAGATTCTGTATTGGTTTTTCAGATTCGTAGATATTTCTTAGTCGAACTGTGCTATTGATAGACACATTTATAAATGATTACCGACATTATTTCACAGTCTTTAAGGCCTATAGTATTCTTATACTTGTCCAATCCGTCATTAAAGTCCGTTTCACTATGGTGTACTGTTACTTGTTAATCAGGATATTACGAGCCTAACCTAAATAATTATCGACTTTGTGTAGTGATAACGTTTGAAATATGTCTCGAAAGAATCATTTACATTTGCACTCTTCTTAAATATAGAGTATCTTAGGTGACTTGAGTTTTTCTTAATTATTTGAGCAAATACACATGTAGTTTGAACTAAAAACACTAACAGAGCCTAATACAAGCTTTAATGCGTAAAACAACACTCGGTGGATTTCGTCTCTGTTTAGAACAATTTAGGTACTGCATCTTTTAAAAATTATACATGCTAGATAATCAGCGAATTTACTAATTGTCTAGACATAACAAGTAAAATGGAAAGTAATTTTTATCACAATCTAGTATAATTGGCAGAGACTTGTATAGAGAGCGAAAACATTCAACCAACAGTTATTTAAAATCAGAAAAAAATTGATGCGTGTTTTTCAGTCGTAAAATATTATAGTTTTTAGTCACTCACAGTGTTTATTTACATCAATGAAACCATTTATTTGTAATTTCGTTATTTGTATTATTCTATTAAATGATACACAGTAAACTAGACAGTTACAAGCTATTTTATACTGAAAAACGATAGCTATAAACTAAAATATGTGTTCATAAATACTAAAATTTGATTATCAATGATAACAATCATGTTAGTGTGTGTAGTTAAAATAAAGAAAATTCCAAGTCTAACTAGTTTAGCCTTATCACATAATTGAAACCTTTGCCAGTTATCATCTCATTAACAGCTGAAATTTTTAATTATTCATAAAAGTTGGAATTTTTTAAAATCGGATATTTAGTTATATCATACTTCATTGTTTTCTAGGAAAAATGTGAGCAAAGTGTAGATAACGTGGAAGAGTGAAATGTTGTTTAACATTTTGTTCATCTCACATACAGAACAACAAACCGATCATTGATCAACAATTTTTTTTTCAATATAAAGGCAATTCAAACATATTATTTAGTGATACATCCAACCAAACTATATTTTAGGTATCTATCTAAGTCCATGTAAATTCACGTATTTGAACTTGTTATTTCCAATTTACTTTAATCTCTATGGAAAAAAACATTTTAAAATAATTTAACAATGTACTACAATATCTGTCATGAATTTATTTCACAATCGTCATGGTAAAATCGGAATTCCAGTTTTGAATGGATTCTGATTTATTTTCGTACACTATTTGGTTTTAATCCTGGTCTTTACGAAAAATAATCGTTTTTAGATATTACTTTATCTGTTTTGTCTCTTCTTGAACTTTAACTAATACTATTTATCATTCAAGTACTAGTCGACTTTAAGATTTTGGAAAATAATTCACATGAATTCAGTTGGTATGATTTTTGTTCTGGTTAGTACTAAATAACTGAAAATAACCAGGCAACTTAAATAATTTACGCTTTGCCCGATGGTGAACTATATAACATTAAATGGTTGCTTCAGTTGATTATTACATCATCCATATGATTTTATGCCGGTAAGGATCACGATACCGATCTAACTGAGAAAAACTTCGGTCACTTATAAAATATCGAAAAAACAACCTTATTTACTTGAAATATCAAAGTTATAGGAGTGATATAAATGAGAACAACAATCTCATTTCTATATATCACAAAGTTATTAGATCTATAAGAAAATAGCCGTGTCTTATAAAAAATGGGGTTGGTTCAACCAGATGAAGGCGGATTAGATATTTCAGTCAGTCAGTCAGTCAGCTACAACGTAGGACCAGGCACATATATGCATCAGTCCAAGTTGCTATACCGCATTAGCACAGCAAGATGAACACCGGATTCATGGAAGTAGTTAAGTCAATAGTGGTAATATATAAAAGAAAGATTACATATAGAGATATAGTACAGGAAGAAAGTTAGTTCGTAGAAAGAAAGATATGAAATAATTTTAGTCTCATAGTTTAACGGAAGACAGAGAGTGTATACACCGACGCCATTGTGACCGATTCTGAGCCATGTCACCAAGAGTATCCAACCACTGGTTACGATAGTCATGTGGATCCCAACCAAGTTGTCTGCATCTACCAACATGGCTCAGACCAGAAGTTAGTGTCTTCAAGCACTGGTGCCACGTTTTAGTTTGGCCGTCCCTAACTTTCTTCTAACCATCCCCAACACCGGTTAGATATTTAAACTTATTCAATTCCAAAGGATGCTTATAGAGTAAAATTTATTCGAATTTTTATTTCGAGTACAATAAACATATGGGAATTAGTAAATTTGACAAGCTTTATTTCACAATTGTCTGGATGACCATTGAAAACCAGGGAGTTTTGTTCATCTTTCTCAGTATAATTTAAGACTTTTCAAAAGTGCATACTAAAATTAAATCTAAAATCTTCCCATATCCTGAAGCTCTTTGATTTTCAGTGAAATGAAACTCATACACTGACTATATTATTAATTGGTAATTGTGCCTTCTTAAAATTTTTTTTAATGAATTATATGTGTAGATATAACTTCTCATAATGTGTGTCTCGATCTCGTTGGTTTTTGTGACTTTAAAACATTATACTCTCACTTTAATAGTTTGATAAAATCATTTCTTGAAAAAATAGCTCTCACTTGCCAGATATTTTGATATTTTAATCAATTCTAAATACTTGTACATTCTAGTTCACATTTTACGGTTAACATTTACAGGCTGGGTAAGGTATACATCAAAATGGGTCATAATTAAACATGATCATCTATTTAGATATGACTTTATCCAATGAATAAAGGTCACTAATGCATAATATTTTGACATGATTATTGTTACTATGATAAAGTTATAAATGACCGATTCGTCTATAGTGGACACTGGTCGTTGTCAAGTTATGTAAATTACTAATTTATGATGATTAATATTAGTTTGGTTAGATATAAATGCAACTCCGCCTGTAGCTTTTCTAGAGTTACTGCCTGTCCCAATCCCGGGTATAAGAGGAGGGTTGGCCATGGGGTCGGCAACCCCACTCATAGAAAAAACTTAGCTTAAAAACGCTAACCAGATATCAACGCATTGTTCAAACTTTGATCTTTCATTTTTGCAATTCAAAACTCTTTCTAATCCAGAGTTGCTTTGTCTAAAGCAGTCAAGTTTTGGTAACCACCATACTGGTCAAATATTACCATAAGAAAAGGCTTAAAATATACTAAAATACTGACTTAGACACTTTTACCTCATATCTTTCAAGAATAATTTTAAAGGTAGGTGAATGTAATTTACATACATACCACTAATATACTCAATACGGTGAAATGCTTTCTCTTCACATACATAAATGAATATATAAAATATATTAAATGTGACACCAACTTCAGTTTATTAAACCAGTGACAACACTTAATATAACTGTTAAGGATTGCATTGTGAAGGTATTAATTTGAAACTAACAACCAAATGCATGTTTCTATACAGTTTTAGATCTTTCAATAATGTGGATTTACAATTTACACTAGATAAAAATCAGGACCTGTCTATTTTACAGTGAACGAAATATCTAATAACTACTGAATCATTATCACGTAGTTCTTATTTTCAGGTTTAGCAGATTTTTGTTAGGGAATTTCAAGTAATTTCTGAAACTTTTGTTTTAAATTATCACACATTCAAATAATTCATGCATTTATACTTAACTCAGCATAATTATCTTTTATTGAGATTATGAATCGATCAATGTAATGCCACCATTAAAAACCAGCAATCACTGAATGGTCGTTTCGTTGTAGTATGGGACTCATCGGAATTGCGCATCCACAACCCCGAATACGGAACTCGAACCCAGGATCTTTGGTCTCGTGTGTGAACGCCTAACCTCTAGATCACTGAGCCGCGTTCCGATGGTTTTAGGAGTTCGCGCGAGACCGAAGATCCTGGGTTTGATTTCCGTGTGTGGGGTCGTGGATGCGCACTTTCGAGGAGTCCCATACCAGGAAAAAACGACCATCCAGTGCTTCCAGGATTTCAATAGTGGTCTAATATTTATAGGTTTATGATCTCAATTAAAAGCCCAACAATCTCCCCAATCCTATACTGGTAATTATCTTTATCATTGGATAAATATTTGCTGCTTCACAATGATGTGTTATAACAAAATTTTCTTGACTTTAGTGATGACTAATTAAAATCATTTCTGAGTTATTTCAACGCTATATTAAAAGTTTGCGTTATATCTACTTATTACCAAATGACAAATAACTTATTAAATCTCATGTACAAAATAGCATAAAAACATACATCATAAATAAAACTATAAAGAAAGAGTTCGAAATAAAATCCCCACTAACCATTATTTTACCAGCTGGATATGAGACTGTAGTAAATCGTTCACAATATAGTTTCATATTCAGTTGTTGTCTAGCTGACATACCTAAACGAGTATACTTAAACCAATTAACAAACCAATTGCATTGATTTGATTCTTCCCAATAAGATGGAGTTGAATTTTCCGACAGTAATATATCATTATTTGTTGGTTTTACAGTGAAAAAATCATTGATATATGTTGTATCGCTTTGTGTTTCCAAACAGGATGGAGATGATTGTAAATCAGATAAAGGTGCTTTTGATGAATTCACACTATTACTCTTGTGCAATAATGGTTTATGTGGTTGTTGTTCTTGTTGTTGCTGTTGTTGTTGTTGGTGGTGGTGGTGGTGATGATGAGGCAGATGTATGTCATTAATCTTAATTATTGGTAATGTTGATATATCAGGTTTTTTACTATTCATTGTTTTAATGCGACGTAATTTCTTATTACGATTTATTAAATATCTACTGGGTGAACAGTTTTTGTGCATGGAATCAATATTTTCTTCAGATTCAGTAAATTCATCAAATTCTTGATCATCTTTATGATCGGCAAATAAACTTGGATAATCATCTGTTACATCATCGTTTGTACTTTGTAGACTTAAAGTACGCTGATTATCAATGGATAATGGTGACAATTGTTTGTATTGTATGAGTTGTCGTGATGATCTAATTTTAAGACGTTTATGTCGTGAATAAATTTTGTATAGCCAACGAAATATACCTATGAATATTGTGATCAATACAATGGAACATGATAAAGCTAATGGCAACCACCATGGAAATGGATCACGTATACATGGCATTTCAATAAGTTAGTATGTAATACGAATTGCTGAAGTAACTAGATGATAATTAAACAAATTTTTAGAATAGTCACTATTATAACATAATTCAGTGATCAGATAGTGTTTGGTTCCTTTCTCTACTCTCATACTTAATTATTATTATTATTCTCTGTTAAAATGTATGATTTTCTAAATTAATGAAATAGTACATTCAATTTAATATATTATAATTTGATTACTTTAAGATGATTGGTTAATAAAAATGTAATAGTTTACTTGACTACCATGCTATCTATCTCCACCCTATTTATCGAACACGAGTGAAACTTAAGTAGGTTAGATTTTTGTAAAAAATTTTAAATGAATAGATAACAATGATTGATACAAACATACGTATATTTTGTTTGGTTAGGTGGACCATAGTTCAATTTAAGGATAGTTTCTGTCAGAAACCGATGTTAATTTGAGAAACAGTAGAATCAGATGCAGTCTGCCCTCCTCAACAGTGGACATCTAAAACCCTACATAGGACTGGACTAAGCATCTCCGCTTAAACAATCAAACATTTATCATATGAAGCATCTTTTTGAATATCAATCTCAAAGGTTGGAATTTCAAACCTTGAATCAAAATACGGAGATCGTTTACATCTAAACTCACCCATTTGATCCAAACCACAAGAGCAGAATAATTCTATATAAATTCCTCAGGATTACTATTGAGTTAATATCACTTAAATGAACAAAACCTTCTAACGTAAATCTAAAGTTAAATGAATGAAATTCAAGAAAATCAAGTTTAGGAATACACAAAAAACTAGATTATTTGATCGTTTTATTATATATCAAAGATAACTGATTTACAAATGCACATTTGATATCGCAAACCTGTGAAACTTTCATTTGAATATGAAACCGATAAACATCAATAAAATGCCCATCGGGTTTCACCTTGTTCTCTGATACGGTATCGTAGGCTAATAGCTATTCAGTTAGTTTGTTTCGGCAAAATTTGTACTTCATAAATTACAGTGCTTCATTGAGTGATATGCAGTTTGTAGATCGGGCACCGGGGGAATTCGGCATTTCATCGAGTACCTACTGTGGCACAGGTCACTTACACTGGCTAGTCGTGATTAAAATGACTTAGTACATACAAACGGAATCGACATCCAAGAATGAATCTTGTGATGATTATGACCATAGTTCCGAATCCATCTATTTTGATACTGTTCTACGTCAATGATGTTTTCTAAAATAAATTTATGGGCAGAAAACTTCTCAAACAAAGCCTAGCCACCATCTTTTGTGTAATATGAGATAAAAAAGACATAGTTTCATTCTCTGAAAGTATAAAATAGTCAACAATAACAGTTAACTTATCATTTTGATAGTTATAGTATAAAAATGTATACGTATGTCACAATGTTCTGTTGTCCACACTCCAACTTATTTATTTACATATCTATTATCAAGTTCACTTGTTTAAAAATCCGTTGACAGTTATGTTCGTTAACCAGGAGGACAATTACTGAAAACATATATATTGTATTCATCTAAGTTGAAATAAACTAAACACAAATTACTAAAAATACCTATTAATACCTGAGTTACTTTAACACAATTTTTACTAGGTGGACTAATATAAACCCCATAACCAATGAACGATAAACGAATCATGAGTATAAATTACCCGTTTGGCTTCGTAATTTCTACTTAGACAAAACCCATTTGGGTGGTGGAGGTAATAAAAACCTAGGTACGAATAAAGTTGTATGAGTTTATTTCTGACACCCGTTTACGTAGAGAGACAGTAAGATGTGGGAATTGTAGAAAGGCATCTCAGCTTACTCAATTCAATTAAAACGTGACTCAATATTTATAGGCATTGACAGATACAAGCAAACATATAGATACATGTGCACAATTATACACACATACTCAGTTTTAAAAAAGGGAAGATTAGAGTAATTCATTTGTGTTGATTATAATTGGTGTCAATTGAATATGTTATTCCTACTATTGAAAAGTCTCAGAGTAGAAACACACAAACACAATGTACTCTTGGTTATTTAGTGCCGACTTGTGCTGCGAAATAACTTGATAAATTTTTCCATATATTTTCAACGGATTAATTCTTACAGGAGTCCATTCTAGTTTTTTAATTGCCTACGAAATCGATTGGGACAAATTCATTGATAATTTCAGTATTTTGAGGTGGTTCCATTCGACTAAATTCTTAGTGTTTCTGCATATATATCTATGCAATTGCTATTTCATTTGCTTTTGGGAGATGTGGATACTTTACTTATAGGTCAATGCAAGTTATTCCTGCCATTATATCAAAATCCTTGTCACTTAACTGATGGATTAACTGAAACCCCATTTATTCTAGGTGTATTTCATTTGAAGAACTCGATACCGTCAAAATTTTGTGGAATTATTTGGAACTGTTTTCAACTGCTAAATGTAAACTGAAAGTAATAAGTGTAAATTATAGGTATTCTCTTCAAGTCCGCTGCTACTAAGTTTATTTTTCTCTCTCTCTTTATATATATATATATATATATATATATATATATATATATATACGTATAATGTTGATAATAATGATATATTTATAATGTCCCAATGAGTAGAAATTAGAATTTCTGATGTCACTTTTTTTCAGAGTAAATAAATAACCGAACTAAATTTACACTAGTTTAAATAATATCACTAAATATAACTGGTTCGAAATCTCATCCCAAGTATTTTAGGGAGAAAGGTAAAATTATTATTGCCGAAATGTTATATTTCGATCTATGTTTATGATGAAAGTTAGTTTCTTATCTTTCGATAGTGTTTCTTCTAATTGAATGACTACGACTACTTTTGTAAAATACCAAGAATGATCATTTAATCTGTGATGTAATACATAAGTGAAAACTGATCAATTTGCCGCATAAACTGGAAGTTTGAACTACGAAACTAAACCACAAAGATAATTTAATATGTGTATCCTTCAAAAAAGTTAGTCACTCTACTACAAATTCACGATTGCATGAAACATAATTTGACATGGTTATTTAACCAACTCTCCAGTGGTAGTTCTCAATCGAATTTTCCCCCAAACTTGATGTTAATTACGTGTTAGACTAAACAGCACCAATAAAACCAAGTTAGTACAAATATTATTATCACAGCTCTTACATTTAGCATACTGTTCGATTACTTTAGCAAAACAAATTGAATGCTACTTAGTATGCTGTTTCTACTTAACAAGATTGTAGATGATCAATCATCATGCTCATTAACGAAAGTCAAATAACTGATATATTATCAGTTAATTCAGAACAATTAATCAGATTCGTCAGTTTTTTGCAAATATGGCAAGTTAATTTAACTTACTCTCTATACTGATCAATGCTAGTGGCTGATTGCCTAAAATGAATAAATTGTTTTATATTCCTTTGAGCTACTTACTTTTTATTATTTACAATATTACTAATGATTTTGGTTTATCAAAGACTAACAACATATCTTAATAAAGTAAACAACTGAACAAATTATATGCACAATCATGTGTGACATAAAGTATGCATAAATAGTAAAATTCTCCGATCGATTTTTAGTAATATTCGTTTGTTAAGATTGTTTACACTACATCGTCAAATATACATAATTAATTTGACCAAATGTTCAACGTGAAAATCCCTCGAACGGTTATTGCTCATCGATATTATGAAAGCTGGAAAATCTTAAGTTAATATCGATCTGCTTTGCATATAAACAGAGATCATTGCAAGGATAAGTTATAGCGGTCTTACAGATTTTAAATGGCCTTCGATACATTGTGAATTGTGTATTATTGTAAAGCGATTGAAGCCCGATAGAATGTGCTTGATCTACATTTTAGACTCTGTCGCCTAACTTTTTCAAGTATCTTAACCAAACAATTTTCTAGCATCACCACATTAGTACATTGTCATTCAGGTAAGTAAACAAGATCCAGCTCTCATCACTTCTTTACAAAAACGAAATATATATAGACATGTTGATCAAACCATAAATAATAAAGTGAAATGTCGTGTTTCTGGATCAATAACCTGACCAATTTCATTATACAGATGTGAATTGAGGCGTCGTTTAAATAGTAATCTACTGTCTCATCAGTGCTGTGCTTGCGACGTAGCAAAGGACAACATATCACACCTCGAATTATACAGAAGATCGTATGCTGGTGAAAACAATTCACATTCGATTATAGCTGTTACTTTGACATGATTGGGGTTGCTTGAGATGAGGACCCACTCGAGTTATCTTGGCCACAACATATGTTCCTTTAGGCCCCGTTATGCCAGAGAGGTCGGTTAAGAACTATGAGAATGAAAGCAACAAATCAAGCTCCAAGGACGAAGTCATAGTGCTGACTTTACAGAGCTGTGACAATCGCAACATATTTCTCACGGATAACTAGAATGCTCAGAGAAAATGCCTTCTGTTATGATTTGATGTCCGGCTTACGATCACGTGACTTATACACCAATCAGAATACGGCTTATACGAATATTCGCACTATGACAAGACCAATGACGTTCAACCGATCTGAGCAGTCTAGCGTCCTATTGGGTCCTACGTCCTTCTAACCTGTCCTCTTGAGTCCAGAACACAATACCAGCTTCTAAATCAACCAAATCGAATCAAATCATTTATTTCAGACATACTCGGTTTATATATCAATCAGGCAGACCACAACGTACCATAAAATAGAAACTAACATGTGTACACAAATAGGCCAAAAAGTGGCTGTGAATGTGGGAGACAGTAATTCATAAACTGAGCATAATTTAGGTACAGTAAATCGTACAATGATAAATTATAGGTCAAAGTGAAGCTTATGATAAGGGGAATATAAATATACATAATCTAACTATTAAATAATTACACCGTAAGAATATATAGATAATATTAGTCAATTAATGTCTCAGAAGTTACTCGTGATTTAATCTTCGCTCGGATATAACACCTCCCCCTTTTTGTTTTTGAAGATCCAAAATTTAGATTCTGATTTCTTAAAAAAATATGTGTAACTTTGAATTCTCCAACATTCTCCTCCTCCACGAAATAATGTCAGATCCTCATATCTCCAACTTAAAATTAATATGACTTTATTTAAACCATGTTTCTTGCATTGAATGTAGAATCCACTA